TATACTCAAAAACTACAATGCATTCCCATAAAATACAGCGGTGTGTATGTTTTTTTGTTCGCTGCTGGCCAGTGCAGTCGCGGATCATAAAGTAGTAGTAGTAGTACATGTAATCCGTTGCTCCCCAACTCTGTTCATCGCACAATTTGACATACCTCGCAACTGCTATATAGTCTGAACATTAGGTTAGACCCATCTCGCATAGTGTGACATGCAATCAACATTAAAGATTGCTGTTATTGCAGACTGTGCAGGGGGCTTCAGGCATCCTAGCTTAATTACATATTCCCTTTTTGATGTACAAAACCACACGTACATGACGAGATACACATTCAACTTTTTCCATAGCCCCAGATAGCTTGTTTCTACACACCTACATGCACTTCCTGGCACAGTCTCTGTCTGTCTCTCACACACAAACCTACTTACACACACAGCTGGGTGATATAACAGTGTGTTGCCATGTGGCTGTGTGCCGAGCAGGGGTCAGGATTGCACTCTGCAGATCAGGGCCTCCACATCTGTCACTTCACTCCTCCGCTGAATACTGCCCGAGAGGGGTGGATGAAGGGATGGAGAGAATGAGAGAGAAAGTAAGGGGGAGGGATGGGAGGAGAGAGTGAAAACGGTAGAGGTAGAGTCGAGGGCTGTGGTTGTTCCAGGCAGCTCCCAGGTGCGAATCAGTGTGCATGAATATGAAAACAGCATGCAGCTGGAAAATAGCCTTGTGTGCATTAAAAAAATAATTCATATTAAGTCCACATCTATCAAGCATTTAAACATTTCCCCCCTTTAGCTGAGCACACTGACTGCTGTTGATGAGTTTTTGATCACAATGACAGCTGTTTAACACTGCGAGTTGTCATTAAGCTGGTCTCTGACAAGCATTATGACAGTTGAGCTAGTGATAAGCCCTCTCATCTGTGTGTGTGTGTGAGTGTGAGAGAGAGAGACAGACAGAGAGAGATAGAAGGCAAGACAGAAGAAGAGAGAAAATGTCAAATGTGTGCATGTGTCAAAGTTACAGTGGCTTTAATAAGGTCATATAAGGCTTTCTGGAGACCTCTTCCTTTCTGTTTGTTGCAGTCAAGTCATACAGCCCACATCTGGCTGGCTGCAGGTCAGCTCTCAGCCTGACATTTCAGTCTAATCAGCCAATATAATTTCAAGTCCACCACCGCAGGACAGAAGGTCCCAGTAATCACTAAGTAATTCTCTGATGTTTTCTGCTTGTAGACTCACATATCATAACATATAGACCCCTGTATCATAGAATTAGAGTGTGTGTTTTGGTTAACAGCCAACAATTAGAATGAAGATTTGGCAAATGACCAGTTGCCAAGCCATTTCCCCAGAGAAAGGTTCTGTTATCATATCAGCTGGTGAGGATTCTGACTTTGTGTCTGGGACGTGTAGTTTTAGCCTCACTCTCCTACACTGAGTAAAATTATAAACGCAACACTTATGTTTTTGCCCCATTCATCATGAGCTGAACTCAAAGATCTAAGACTTTCTCTATGTACACAAAAGGCCTATTTCTCTTAAATATTGTTCACAAATCTGTCAAAATCTGTGTTAGTGAGCACTTCTCCTTTGCCAAGATAATCCATCCACCTCACAGGTGTGGCATATCCAGATGCTGATCAGACAGCATGAAGCATGAGTATTGCACAGGTGTGCCTTAGACTGGCCATAATAAAAGGCCACTCCAAAATGTGCAGTTTCACTGTATTGGGGGGGTCCGGTAACCAGTCAGTATCTGGTGTGACCACCATTTGCCTCACGCAGTGCAACACATCTCCTTCGCATAGAGTTGATCAGGTTGTTGATTGTGGCCTGTGGAGTGTTGGTCCACTCCTCTTCAATGGCTGTGCGAAGTTGCAGTCAGGTCAAGACCCCGATGAGGATGATGAGCATGCAGATGAGCTTCTCTGAGATGGTTCCTGACAGTTTGTGTAGAAATTCTTTGGTTATGCAAACCAATTGTTGCAGCAGCTGTCCGGGTGGCTGGTCTCAGACAATCTTGGACGTAAAGATGCTGGATGTGGCGGTCCTGGGTTGGTGTGGTTACACATGGTCTGCGATTTTGAGGCTGGTTGGATGTACTACCAAACTCTCCTCACTAATTCAACCACCTGCGCCTCATTCAATTCCTCCAATCAACCACCCGTGCTTCACTCATTTCATCCTCCTGTGCCTCTCTAATCCACACATGCACTCACATATATAAGCCCATCTAACCCCTTTTCTCTCCCCTTTCTCAGTTCTCACATCCCTCCCACCCAAACCCTGTTTTCTCACCTCTTTTAACGGGCAGCACATTGGCCCAGTGGACAGCACTGCGGCCTCACAGCAAGAAGTTTCTGGGTTTAGATCTCACTCAGGCCAGGCCTTTCTGTGCAGACTATGCATGTTCTCCCCATGTTTGCGTGGGTTTCCTCCCACCATGAAAGACATGCACGCTAAAATCCATAATTCTGTCAATTAATCATCTTTGTCTTTTTCTACAACAGGAACCACAGGGGGGTTCATAAGCAAGCCGCTTATCTAGATGAGCCCCCACCCTGAATCTCGACCCCCAGGTTCCTAGCCGCTCCAGCCACCAAACTCTAAACAATCCCCTTCATCCCTCCATTCTCGACTTCTTCATCCTCGACCCCTACATCCCTCTTCTCTCGACACCTCGACACCTCCCCTCGATCCCTCCATCAGAGATACTCCTCATTATCCAAATGAACTACCCTGTAAGACCTCATATTGGCGTGGACCTTGTTAGTGAACTGTGCAATCCCCATGCTGTCTGATCAGCATCTGGATATGCCACACCTGTGAGGTGGACGGATTATCTTGGCAAAGGAGAAGTGCTCACTAACACAGATTTTGACAGATTTGTGAACACTATTTGAGAGAAATAGGCCTTTTGTGTACATAGAGAAAGTCTTAGATCTTTGAGTTCAGCTCATGATGAATTGGGGCAAAAACAAAAGTTTGTCATTTTGTTCAGTGTATGTTGCTACCAAGTAAATTTTTAAGACTCAATTACTTTAGCTGAAAACTTTAAAAAGTCAGATACAGTGTTTTCAACCAACTAACAGCGCTAATGTTAGCTTAATTAGCTCGTCCCTCATCAAATCCCATTGTTTGTTTAAAATACAGGGCACTTTACCACTTCCAGATGCCCCATGGTTTGGGTTTCTCACCTGCTTTAGTGGTTAAAGCCATCCCTGCACCTGTCCCCCTGTTCCCTTTTCCTGTAATACTTCCTACTATCTGCTACATGCACATGTATTTGTCTGCCTTTACCTTGCTGGATATGTGGTATGTTCAGCATGCCTCCCAGTTTCAGATTACAGGCCTATATTTAGTAAAGTACCTTTAATTAAATTACTGCATTTGGGTCCTCTTCCTCTGTGCTAAATATGTGATCTGTTACAGTCAACCCTGCTTCCTGCCCAGTCACACCAGCATTTAAAACAGTGACATATCTGAGCTTAACTACTTCATTAAAATGTAATCTCTGCAATCAGTCACAGGAGCAAAGAAAATATGCAGGAATCTTTTTCATCAGCTTCAAATTCAGAGAACTTTGACACAAAAATCCATGCTATTGACCAATAGCAATCCGTCTAAACGGCACCAACATTTAAGGGAAACAAAATATGCTATCATATTAGTTGTGTTGCACTTTTCACTTTGAGAGATCTATCTATCTATCTATATATAAAAATGTTTCTTGAATAAACTGCCAGCGGTTGATTACAGGCCAACTGTCTTGTAAGAACATACGGAAACCTTTCTGTGCCACTTTCTGCCGTGACCAGAACTTTAGACTTTCTGATTCACGGGAATCATATTTCCAGGAACTCACCATTACATTACGGGGAAGTACGCTGATTTTACACATCAAAGTCTGTTTATAGTTGTTTACTTCTTGGGGAGTACTACTGCATATGTGAAAAAAGTACTATAGAGCTTTTTGTGGCTCCAAAGGGAACTGTGGGAAAGCCGATAGATTGCGTCATTTGGGGCTGAACACTTCAAGTTTGAAAATGAAAAACATCTGAGAGTGTGGGGTTAGAAAGGAGTGAGCTTACCAGACCTCTGTAGCTCGCTCCTTATCTCTGCTTGAGGCTAGAGGCTCGAGCCTACATCACATTACTACTAACATAATACACCAGAATCTCCGACTCAACTGAACTGTTTGAACTGCATCAATTTTGAAATTTTGTTTAAACTGTCCATCGTGAGTCCAACAGTGTTACAGGGGTGCAATGTGAAATTGTTGAAGTAAACTTTTAAACCTACACTGCTTGCTAATGTTGACTCAAAACATCAACCACTAAAGGTGGAACTAGACTCTGTGAACTTCTCGTATCAAGGAAGGCATTCAGGCCACCCTCCTGGGTTGGTAGTCATACATATTGTTACTCAGTGGCTCTTAACTTGGGTGTTGGAAACCCCCAGGGGGTCAAACGAAAATTCTCAGGGGTCACAAAAAGAAAGAAATGTTTTGCAGAAAAATGTTCACCTCCTCAGGACTCAAGAAATCAAATGAAACAAATCCCTGACCTATGACCACCACTGAGTTCATAGTCATAGCCTGTGATGTGGCTCACAAGTAGACATTGCTTCATTTAAAAGGGCTACAAGACCAAAAGGTTTGGAACCACTGCTGTAGAATATAAGCAACGAAAGACAGAACTTATAGACAGATTTTAATAAAGTCTGTTTCTCTTCTTTCGTTATACTGGCAGATAATAACCTGGAGACTTTAATGAAAGCTCTTATTTTAGTCAGACTTTAATGAAGCCATATGTAAATTCAAATCTCCCTAAACTCCCCATTTCCCCTGTCCTATCATAATGAAGCTCGTCTGCTCACTTTCTTTCTGTTTTTATGGTTTGATCTTGTGGAGCATTAGAACACACACACACACACACTAATTATTGCTTCTTTGTCTTTTCTCCCTCTCTTTTGCCTCAACCTCATCCCACCTCCAGTCCCATCCTTCTGGGGTCTGGTGCACTCAGCCTGGAACCTGTGCGCCATAGGGAAGAGGCAGTCGCCCATTGACATCGAGACCAGTCATATGATCTTTGACCCCTACCTGACCCCTCTGAGGCTCAACACCGGAGGACGCAAGGTAACAGATGCCACCATTTAGATGACCTGACATCTGTCTTTGGATGAATGAATGTTTCTGAACACATCCTCAGGGGCTTGATCCATGCCGTGTCCTTGGACGCTTTCAGGCCAATGTTTGGAGACATCAAACGTTACGTAAAGAGCGGGACTGTCCTTCACTGACAGCACTGGGCTTTAATTTACCACAGCGGCTGGGAACAGAACAGGACATATTCTCTAAATCAAGACGCAGGGAAACTTCTGTCTGACAGAGAGTATGAGCTTTTCATCCATATCCGAAGGCTTTAAAATTCCCAACTGCATTTGCTAGGCTCAGAAGGCATTACAATTTTAGCCCTTTACAGAGCAATCACAGTTAATCTTTACAGGAAAAATCCTCCCTAGAGCACCATGAATCACTGTTAAAAGCACAGCTTTTTTGGAGTTGTTGTACATTGCACCCTGGATTAATAGTGTATTTTAGTTATTGACCATATTTAAATGAAGTGATATCACACTGAGGTATTTTCAGCTCAAGGGAAGAGGAACTGTTTACAGTCTATACAAATGTAGTTATACTGATGTGTCTGGAATTACAAGGCTCTATCTGTAATCTGGAGTGAAGTGTACACATCCTTAGCAAAAGTCTTATCAGTAAAATTAAATAATTAGATGGTTAAGTACCCTTAAGATACTCTACATTGTTTTGTACAATATCAAATTAAAATACTATCATAATTTGAATTGGGGGTTTTCTAGATGAGGTGGATTTCAGAATGAACCTTCTGATACTGATAATCCATTTCCTGCTTGGAATTATGTTTTATGTCTACCAAAGCCAGTTTTATACACAAAATTAATTACTGAAGTTATTAGAGATTTGGGCACAGAACTACGGGATCATTTTTCCCTATAAACTTTTGAGTTCCCTTGCATTACATTTTGCATGCCCTCTAATTCATGGAGGAAGGCCCAGCAATTCAGCAACAAGATTTTCCCTGAAAGATTTTAACTTCAGTTTTACCAATAATCAATAAAAAAAATTTAAAAATATAATAATAATAATAATAATAATAATAATAGAGACATATTTCACATGTTTGCTGACGGTCGCTTTTCTGCTCTAAAATCGAAATCTATTTTTTGACCTGGATAAGCATAGGTCATCATTGTCAGAGCTCTGAATGTAGTCACTGTGTCTGATGCAGTTTAGAACATACACAAACCCAGTAGGAGCATGGCAGAGTTAGCATCAGATGGCAAAAACGCTCACTGTTTCTGCCAGTAACAAGTATTTTTCTTAACATTCCAAAAGCCCGCACATGGGCTGTCAGGTCCTGGCGGCAGCTCTCGGTATGTGCATCTGATATGTTAACTTCATACTCATGATACACCGTTTGAAAGCTAAAATCCTCGTGATTCAACCAATGCAAACCATTTAAAGATACAATCACCACAGCGGGTACAATTAGCGCTTCTAATAATCCTTATTTGTAGAGCACTTTTCAAAAACAAGTTACAAAGTGCTTTAACAAGTGTAAAGAATAATACAAAAAAAAAAACAAGATAAGAGCATTAAAAATTAATATAAAATTAGTAAAATACAATAAAATAAAAGGGATAAAATAAAGTCAAATAAGATCAGGAAAAGCTCTCCTTTAAAAGTATGTTTTAAGAAGGGACTTAAAAGAGTTCACTGACTCAGCCGACCTGATTGCTTCGGGCAGGCTGTTCCAGAGCCTCGGGGCCCTGACAGCAAACGCTCTGTCCCCTTTAGTTTTCAGTCGAGACTCTGGAACTGACAACAGACCTCTGCCCGAGGACCTCAAGGTACGTGCTGGTGCGTATGGGACTAAAAGGTCAGAAATATAACAAGGCGAGAGGCCATGAAGAGCTTTAAAAGTGATCAATAGAATTTTAAAGTCAATTCTAAGACATACTGGGAGCCAGTGTAATGAAGCTAAAATAGGAGTAATGTGGTCATATTTCTTTGTTCTGGTTAAAAGCCTGGCAGCTGAGTTCTGGACAGTCTGGAGTCGATCAATAGATTTTTGGGTTAAACAGGTGAAAAGGCTGTTGCAATAATCCAGGCGTGATGAGACGAAGGCGTGTAAAATGGTCTCGGTGTCCTTAAAAGTTAACATAGATCGAATTTTAGCTATATTTCTAAGTTGATAAAAACATGATTGAACAAGCTTTGTGGTGTGCTGCTCGAAATTTAAATTACTATCAAACCAAACACCAAGGTTCTTTGCCACAGGCCAAATGTTATTTACTAGGAAACCAGCAGATGGCAGTATTTGATTTGCCATCTGCTGGGACCCAATGACCAGGATTTCTGTTTTGTCTGAGTTCAGCTGGAGGAAATTATTTGACATCTATTTTTTAACTTTACAAAGGCAGTTGTTAAGTGAACTCAGCATTCCAGGGTCTGTGGATAGTATACAAGTATATTTGTGTGTCATCAGCATAAATATGAAAAGAAATGCCATGTTTATGGATAATATGTCCAAGGTGAAGCAGATACAAGGAAAACAAAATGGGTCCTAAGACCGACCCCTGAGGCACACCATATTTAACTGGACAGAATGAGGAGACATAGTTGTTTACAGACACGCAAAACTTCCTATTTGACAGGTAGGATGAAAACCATTCTAGGGCAGTACCAGAGATCCCCACCCAGTGCCTCAGTCTGTCTAACATGATGTTGTGATCAATGGTGTCAAAAGCAGCGCTAAGGTCCAGGAGTACCAGGACTGAGCACATGCCTTCATCAGCAGACATTAAAAGGTCATTGGTGACTTTAAGCAGGGCAGTCTCAGTGCTGTGGTACTTCCTAAAACCAGACTGAAACTTTTCAAATATTTTGTTATTTTCCAGTACAGTGAGCAGCTGTTTGGACACAATTCTTTCTAGAATCTTTGCAATAAAAGGCAGTTTTGAAATTGGTCTAAAATTATGTGGGAGGGAGGGATCTAAACCAGGTTTCTTTAAAAGTGGGTTCACGCAAGCCGTTTTAAAATAATCAGGGACACAACCAGTAGATAGGGAGCTGTTGAAAACAGAGATCAAATGGGGCCCAACAGAATCTATTACTTTCAGTAAAAACTTTGTAGGTATTACATCAAGTGGGCTGGAGGACACTCTCATTTGTGATACTGTTTTTAAAAGCTCAGACAAGTCGATGGGATAAAACTGGTTAAAACTCTCTTGTTGCTGGTGAGGAACCTCTGAGTAAGAGGCCACGGGGGTAATAGAGGCTCTGATTGACACCACCTTATTGGTAAAATAAGATAAAAACAATTCACAGTCATCATTACTTCCAGCTGAGGCACAAGGAGGGGTTGGGTTTACCAGCTGATCCACAGTCTTAAACAGAAACCTGGGATTGTGTTTATGTGTAGTAATGAGTTCAGAAAAATAGTGTGTTCTCACATCCTTAACCAAGTTATTGTAGTTAATTAATAAATCCTTCAGACTGAGGTAATGGACTTGGAGACTGGATTTTTTCCATCTGCGCTCTGCTTTCCTGTATTCCCTTTTTAGGCTGCGAATGCTGTCATTTATCCAGGGTTGCTTACTAGCTTTAGACGTAGGCCTAACCTTTAGAGGAGCAGTAATATTTAGTGACGACAAGCACATATGATTGAAGTGACTGACCAGATTGTTGGTGTTGGAATCAGACAGGTGTTGGCTTTGGCTCTGAAAGAATGCGCAAAACTTTGAAACACTTTGTTTTCTTTGAAACAATTGCCGCGATTCACCTATGAAGCCTTATAGTAATCCACCGATCGATCATATTCTAACAAAAACTGTCTTGTTGTGTTGTCAAAGGTCCAGACGATCCAATCCAGTAAAAATATTTAGTCCCAAACACATTCCATCAATAAATCCCCAGGGACTACTGCCGCATCGTTTCATATTTGCCGGCAGACGTGGCTCGTTGGTCATTATAACCGTAATAACTCCGATTTGAATGTAAACAACTACGACAGCTTGTATTCAAATAAGCTGCTGAACTCTAACCTTTCGAGTAACACCAAATCCGACCGAATAAGAGCTCACATGTCCCTTTCACAGCCTTCAACAGCCAACGAGAGCCCACGCTGTAAGAAAGGGCCAGCCTCTATTATTTCGTGGGTAGGCCGAGCCAATGGCAAGAAATTGTGTCGATGACTGGCTTGGTGTAGCCAATGAAATTCTGAAAATAACGATATCCAGCTTTAAGTAGGAAGTTCATGATCTACCAGCAAACACATCTGTTTCAAGCTACCAGCTAATACGGAGCAATGCAGCAGCAGCCAAGGGGCGGTGCTGTTTTAGAAAGAATACGCTAAGACATACACTTAGAAAAACCTGTGTAAAATAATCATTTTTCATGGTATTGGTATGAAATTTAAACTAGGACTAGGTAATGCTTTATCCTGTGGTCCTACTGTTTTCCAGCTAATAAGTCCCAGCTATAGTTGTCTGCATGCATTTGTTAGCAAGCATTTTCAAGCGGAAACTAAAAATATTAGTTTTAGTGTGTTTAATCAATTCCAGTAGCACTTAGTCATTCTGACTTTTGGGTTAGACACTCCAGAGTGAAGCCCAAAACCATGCATATACTCCAAATGGTTCAAGAACTACATTACATTCAATTTACTTTGGATATGCCTTGACTAGACGTTTTGCATGAATTTTACAGGAATGTTAAGAGGTTAACCCCTTAACGCCGGAATTTTTTTACAATCAAAAAATAAAAAAAATTATTTGTGTTTTCATTTGCTTTCAAGCTAATGTTAAATTAAGTGAAGATTGTTAATTTGTCTTTAGAACATAGAAAATATATAAATTCAGGTATGTGTAGGTATGATGCGAATTCGCGACAATTGGCGTCAAGGGGTTAAAAAGAAAATGGCTAAAACAGTAAAAAAGTATTTTCAGCTTTAAGCACTTCCATAATTTAGGCAACAGGACTAAATATAATAAATAATATAAATCATTTTGTGCACTTTTTGGAGTGTTTGTATTGCA